CAAGTCACGGCTGTATGCGGTTAGACGTTGGGGATTCAAAAATTAGTGACAACTTCACTAAAAATCATACGGAATTTAGGTACTCGTCTGGAAGAAATTCCCCAATCCACCATCAGCCGTACCAACTGGTTGCAAAACTTTATGCGCCATGAGAATATGAACAGATGGGTCTCGGTACCTGGCGCATTTGTCGACCAGTTACACGGCCACAACGACGGCTTCGGCGATATGTTCTACTGACGAGAGGCTGCTAAGAATTCCAAGTGTAAAGCTGACATCTGGTAAACGGACCCGGACTTCCTTCATCGTTTGCATCTACAACTGTAGGAGACTAGCGAGAAAAGAAACAAAACCACCGAATGAACGAAACGTCAGGGATGGCCTGCGGCATCGTTTGATTCTGTAAGATACGGATGTAAGGGATCACCGCGGAAGGTGACGAATGGCATATGGAAAGACGGTGTTCGATTTAACTAGGAAGAGAAGACGCGAAAAACAAAACAGGAATCAGATTTGCAGTCAGCAAAAACCGATTCTCCAAAATCATCTACAATATGACGTCGCCAAGACTGGCCGTGCTGTCTCCAACTAAACAAGAAGAGAATGTTGAAAACCATCTGAACCTTTTGCATACCCAGAGGTAGAACCGACGAGGAAAAGGTGGAACAATTCTATCAAAAACTGAAACAAACATTGAACATAAAGTCTACGTATAACCTATTCATGGGACATTTCAATGTCAGGGTCGGACGAGAAAAAGTCGGTGAAAAAGTTCGTCGGTAGGTACAGCGCTGGTAAGCGGATGAAGCGAGGAGGTCGACTGCTGACCATAACAAAAACGAAATATCTCTACAATACAACACCATGGACATGGATCGTGCCGAACACGGCGACGAAGAACGACATTCACTTAATCCTGTTCAAAAAAGATAGTGTCATTCGAAACAGGAATAGTGCGATAATTTAAAACTGGTGCGGGTAACGCAAGGTTTCCTGAAGATGATCGAGAGGAAGATACTGCAGATAGCAAATCGCAGACACAGACTGAATGTATTCGACGAGACAGCGTTCCAAATGTGCATTTTCAGAGAAGAATGAAGTTTGAAGGCCAGCGGCGCCGACAACTACGAGAAAGTTTGCCGAAAGACAAGTGCATAAAGTCAGCCGAGGTGACAGCATCAAACAGCGAATAGAAGGATCTCATAAGAGAACGGGTTTGATAGAGAAACGAAGGAGGATTGAAGAAAGATGCGCTCGACGAGGTGGAATACTCTCCTCAATGCAAGTTCAATAGACGGAAGCTGAATAAGGACTTCAAGACCTTCCAATTGCGAAAGAAACAGCCGAAGACCGCAGAAACCTACAATCAATGCAGGAAAAGGCACAAGATCAAGCGACCATCATGGCGTTGAAGAACGGGGATGGCCATTAAAGTCGACAGAGTTGAGATGCAGTCTGCAAGAACTTTTACATCCAGAAGGAACTGCGTTCCTGATCCTCATAAGCAGTCAGCAAGCCACGCAGCGAATGAAGGAAGAAAAAAACCCTGGGAGAGACGATCTGCCAATGAAATTATCCAAGCAGGTAGTCAGATGCTGTGAAGGGTTAGAGCGGAGGGGTTCAGCTACTACCTGGAAACAGAAAGATACCATCAATCCGGAAGGAATCAAAAACAATCTAATTGCTCAAGGAGGGCGAGAAGGAAGATCTGAAGGAATTATCGCCAGATCTACCTGCTCTTACTCCACTAGCTGTTCATTAAGATCATCAGCAACAGACTGTCAACAAGTCTGGACGAACAGTAGCGGAGTGAACATTCATGGCAGGATTCCGAAGGGGTTGCAGCACACGGATAGCATCTTTAGCCTGAATCAACTCGAGCGGGCGAGGAAATACCAGCTACCTTTATAAGCCTTCGTCGATTAAGACAAAACGTTATACGCTATCAAGTACAACGCAGGGTGAATTGTAGTGGCATAAATGTACTTCTACACCCGTTGCTTCAGCCTACTGATGGAAGCGTAATCTGGCCGCTTCACAAACATCATGCTGTTCGACAACGCCTTTCTAATTACCGTAGAGAGCAGCGGGAAATAAGAGGGGACCAACCCTTCAAACTCTTCACTGTCTGTTTGGAAACGGTACTTCGGAAGATGAACTGGAATGGTGAGAGCAATGTTAACGATGAACAGCTCAGCCACCTAAGGTTCGCTGATGCTGTTGGAAAATGCCAGTCGGCTACAAGACAAGCTGCAAGAACTCGACAGAAAAAATGCAGAAATCCGACTGGTAATCAGTCGGTCAAGACGAAGATACTGCGATCACATGCCCTGCCAAAAGCTTAGGTAACATTAAACAGTGGAAAGATCGAAGAAGTTGATAAGTACATTTATCTGAGTCACGAGATTAACTTAATTATCATGCGACAGATCAGGCTGGAGAGATTCAACGAGTAAAGAGAACTAGTTGGGATACATTTCATTCCATCAAAGACGTCCATTCCATCAAGGACATCAGAAAAGAGAACCTGAGCCAGCCTCTTGCATTCTAGCGCCCTGCTGGCAATGCTATATCGTAGTGAGATATGGTCGCTCACTAAAACTGAAGAGCGCAAGATGACTGTCACCGAGAGAGCCCTGTAAATAAGAATATTAAGAATCTCACGTCCTACCCACATCCCCAAGACGGTGACCAGACAGCGGAGGGAGTGAATGACGTTGTCATCAAAAGCAGAAGGAAGAAGTTACGCTAGGCCATGCACGTAGCTCGGCTCACTGACGGGAAGCGGTCGGCGATGATCGTCGACTGGTACCCTCACGGGCGGATCTAGGCCGCTTGTCGCCCACCACAGCGGTGGGAAGATTATCTCAAGAGCCAGAAATGCCGCATTTGGAGGGGAGAAGGTTCGAAACCGCGAGGAATGGCAGGCAAGTTGCGGCCTACCCGATGCATCGCCGATTACGGGTCGGTTCAAGTGCTGATTAATCGTCTAGGTTACACCGACCTAGACATTTACTATTTCGATATGTCTAATTAGTTTTATGCGTTAAAAGTTTAATATAGTTTTGCAAACAAAATTTTTCTTATGATATACGAGCAAACATCATGTCTCAAATACATAAAATTGTTAGGATATTTCTGGGATTACACTAGGAATCTCCTTTGAAATAAT